CATTACTATATAACAATTTTTATACCATTGAATAGACTCGTTATGATGAGTCTAATAAATAATTTTGATACCGCTGCACCTTCTTAATCATAAGATAATGCTAATTAAAATTTTGTATTCGGGTGATGCAATACTTTTGAGTGCCACTGTACTATCTTACTAGCTTTAATATTAAATAGATTTATTGCAACTAAAATTATTAAAAAAAGTTGTAATAAAGAAAAGTTTCAAACATTTATTGTGAATCAAGTTTTAAGTTATTTTTAAAGTCAATAAATATATAAAAAAAATTAATTTATATTATTAATCTATTTTAATAATTTTAGATACCTCAAATGAATTAATTATGGATATGCAAGAATTTATCATAATGAAGCATTGGTAATATTTGTTGAAAAAATAGATAGAAAAATAATATATTTACCTTTATATTCTTCAGATTTTAATCTTATTGAAACTGCTTTTTTATCAATTAAGGTTTGAATCAAAGATATAGAAATTTTATTGAAAATTATGATGATTTTAAATATATAATTTTATATACTTTATCTCAAATTATTTCAAATATTTCAAAGCAAGAAGTTATTTTGCAGAATCTATTTATATTTAATTATATAATTTTTAGATAATGAAGTTTATTTTTTTTTGTTTTTAAAAAAAAATAGATTAAAATTTTTGAAAATATAAAAAAAAGAATTATAATCAGCATTATAAATAAAACTTAGGCAATTTTTAAAATTTTATTGTAATTAATAAAAGTAAACTTTATTGAATAATAAAACAAATAATAAATATATTATTTTGATATTGTGTATATTTTTTTACTTTATAAGTTACATTCAATCCTTGAAAAATTCTTTTAATTTAAGAACTATTTTTAGAGCGGATGTTTTTGTTGTTTATGATAATAATTCATTATTTATAAATAATGGTAAAATAAATAATGATTAAGGATACATATAATGTGATGGTAGATATATAAGATGTAAAGGTAATAATATTAAAGGATAAAAGGAGAATAATACATTAAAGAATAGTTAAAAGATATATTTTATGTATCTTTTGATACATTAATTAATCATGTTAAATAAAGAACTATTTGAAAGATTGTCAAAATTAGCTTCATTTTTTAACCTAAAATGAATTATAACTATTAATATTAATAATAATAGAATAAAGATAATTAAATTATAAATAATATAAATAATACTTTACTATTTCTACTGTCTATAATTTTAAATGAATTGGAGTTAGATTAAGAAGATGATTTTCTTGAATATAACAATATTTATTGTTATGAATAATGTATTAATATTTGTCTCTTAATATTATCATTATATTAATCTTATCTACTTCTGGAATATTAATTTCTTTAGGAATGTGATTGGACTTTACATCTTTAATTTTCATGTAATGCATTTTTTAAAATTTTTCAATAGATGATTTAAATTTAAATTCAGAAATTTCATTTAATTTATAAAAAATCTAAATAAAAATAATATTTAATTTAAAACAAAATATAAAAATAAATATTAACATTTCTTTTCATTTAGATTAAAAAAATTCATTAAACTTGTCAAGCCAATTTCCTGCTCTATTGTTATTTTTTTTTTATATATTATTTTCATTTTCTTATAATTCATAATCCATATTTTTCATTCAAATTTTCATAAACCTTTACTTTAAATTCAAAAAAATCAAAGGATTTTTCTTTTATTACTATAAATGAAGAAGGCTATGATAAAGAATTATTATTTTTTTTTACTTGCAATTTTAATTTAAATTATTCTTTTAATAATAATGAAGGTGAATAAGAAGTTAAAGTAAAAAAAATAGGTAAAGTAACAGATGAAAAATCAAAACTGTTTGATAAATTTAAAAGTGATAATTTCTCTATTTCAGGAATTAGTAAATTATTAAATGTAATAGAAAGTAATGTGAGTATAAAAAATACAGTAGAGTATACTATAGAAAATACAGCAGAAGAGAATTTTAATTTTTGTATTTCATGATAAGCTTTATCATTATATGAAGAATATAAAAGCTTTGTTTATATCTATTTTATGTTCAACCTTTTTATACTCTCTTACTTTTTTGTATAAATTTCATTATTATCATCTAAACTATTAATACAACTTCTAAAAAACTTAATTGCATTTGTTTTATTCTTTTTGTCTAGTTTTATTGATTTATTACAGTTATAAGTATTTACTATTAAAATTTTAGCATAATACATACATTTTATACAAAAAAAATTACTAATTTCATAAATTTTACAGTACTATGTGTTTTTATTATCAAGGTTATGATAAATATCATGGTAATAAAAGGCAACAAGATTTGTATTACAACATATCATATATGCACGTTGATTGATTGGTCAAATACAAGAAATTCATAAATTTGTATATAAATCGATTATTACATGATTATCATCTAATTCATATATATTTAAAAACTACAATAAATCATCAAATTTTTTTGAAATTATACAAACATATGAAAATACTGAAAAGTAAATAATTCAATTGAATAATTAAATATATATCCAATTATCCAATTAGACATTTTGGATATTATCCAAATTCTAATAATATCTATGTAATTATTAATTTAAATAATTAGTTATATATCTATTTAAATAATATTCAAATATCCAATTATACAAATTGGATATTGTCTAATTTTAATCCTGTCTATTATATCTTTATGATAAAATATTCTTGTAAATATTGTTTATTTGGTATTTTGTTTTTTAAAAATTAACCTAAATTCTGGCTTATTTAACTTAAAAAATTAGATTATTTTCAACAAAATATTTTGTGATATTATTAATACAAAATAAATTCAGTTTTTTAATTAAAATTTAGCTGATTATGATTGAATTTAATAATATTTCTTATTTCTTTATTTATTTATTTTTTTTTGCCAAAAAAATTTTATCTAACATAACAATAAAATTTTAAATTCCTTACCCAAATTTTTAATTCATTTTTATAAATCAGAAATAAATAAGCTTAAATGAACTTTTTAAATATATTAAATCAGAAATATAATAAAGATTTATTTGATAGATAATATGGGGTGAGTGCTGAAAAAATAGACCAAATTGATTTTTTTTTAAATAAAAAAGTTCCTAAGTAAAATAGATGTAGATTTGGTCATCTGATTCAGGTCATTTGTTATTTCAAAAAAAAATTTTTTGTCGATTTGGTCCTTTTTCCTAGCACTCACCCCATATATGCAACAATCAATATATAAATTATACTTATAAAATAATATAAAAATATAAAACAATACAAATATAAAAATTATCCTTATAAATTATACTATTTAGAACTTTTTTTTCTCTTATTTATTTTTTTAGTTTTAAATATGTAAAATATGTAATTAAAATGAGCAGAAAAGGTCAATAGCTCTTAATGATAAAGAAAATGACTCAAGAAATCTTATAACTGCAGCTGTTTTTTGTAATGAAAATGTACATATGAGGTTTTATAATTCGTAATTCGCTTTGATAACAATAATTTCTAATAAATTATTGGGGTCACATGATCTGAAAGTATGGATCATTAAGAAAAGTTCTTTATTAAAAAGTCAGATTAACATAAGATCGACAATGTATCATTAAAAAATTTAGTAAAATACAAATATTTTTTTCGACAACTGAAAACCCATAGAAAATAAATTGCTTTCTTATGTTAATGACCCATTAATTAATTATAAGGTATAATGTAAATATAAATATATAAATATTTAATGTGAAACCGTAAGAAAATCTTAGATTTATAGCGGAAGATTTTGCATTCTCTTTGAATGCATTGGGCTTGTATGGATTCGGATTCTCTTCTGAACTATACCTATGAAATGAAAAAGAAATTTATTAAAAAATTAAAAAAAAATTTTAAACTTCTGATATAAAAGATCAAAAATCATTTCATTCTACATACCCTATAGTTTCCAAAATTGATTTAAGTTTTGGACCAATTACCCCACCAGGATAATTTCCTCCATCCTTAATTAAATCTTCTATGGTTTTTCCGTTTACTGCTTTCCACATCATCAAGAAATCACTGGTATTTAGATAAGTTGTAAGATCCACATGTGATATCGAAGAACCTTGAATAAATGGTTCAATAGCAGTTTCTAAAATAACGGCATCAGTAACAAAGTTTTTGGAACCTCTTGGTAATATTCCAAGTGATTTTGGAGTATTTGCAAGAGTATACATATCTGTCAGCATTTTAATTTCTTTATCTCCAAATTTTTCAAAAGGATCACTTCTCCCTGGGTTTTTAATCATAAAATCACTTAGGTATTTTGTAACACTGGAAACTGGGGAACCATCTGATAAAAATATCATGGATTTATCTAATGCAGATTCTTTAACTATCAAATCTGAGTTAAGGATTTTCTCCTTCGGATTAACCGTTTCACTGAATTTAGGTACAATTGCTGGAATTAAAGCTGGTACATCAGGAAATGCCTGAATCCAAAATGAAAAAAATCCTAATCCATGCATAAGTTCATGAATCATAACGTAAAAAAAATCGTATTCGAATTGTTGAATAGGTCCACTCTCTTCAAACCAAAGTGGAAATTTTGTATTGAATTCGGCATCAATGTCAAATTCATTAAATTTGGGATTTCTCGGAAATTGAAATTGTTTAACTAACGCTTGCGGATATAACCTTTCCAAACCATCGTCATCTTCCAACGCATAAATCATTGTAGGTCCTGCTTGACCTAATCTAGCTGCTAAATCCGGTGGGCAAGTTTGAGGAGTATATCCATCACAAAAATTATATATGGTCGCATTTACAACTATTTGAGTATTAATTTTTAGAACTGTAGAAATTGTCTTTGAAGCTCTTTCAAAAGCTAAATTTATAAAATTACAAAGTGTGGTATTATCTGAACGACAATTCAATTGCACTTTAAACATTTGTTGAGGTTCTCCATTTTCCTGATTTAATTTATCAGATACATCTTGTTTAATTTGATTTGACCAGTCACAGTCAACCATTCGATACGAGTTATAATTATCAACTTTATAACATTCCGATGACGAAACATTAGCAGGAAGGAAACTATACAGAAACAAGATAATGAATATAAATGATTTCATCATGTTGAATGAAATTTTTTTTTAAATAAAAATATATTTCAGACTTTTTCTCAACTTAAAAAAGCAATATCTTTTTATATGAAATTGTTCTCTTGATTTCCAATTACAATGAATACAATACAAATGTGTGCATATAAAGGTTATGTCTTATTTTAATGCTAATGTAACACCAGTGCATATCAGAAGCTCATTTGATATCGATTCGGAGTTTCGATTCGGAGTTTCAGTTATTAAAAGTAAGTGACAAATTCTTTTTTCATGTAAAATTTTTTTTATAGTTCGAATAATCAAAAATGTTTAAAATGTTACCATCCATTTTAATTACAACAAAGCACCATATAAGGACTTTTATATAAATAATAATAATATACGAAAGAAATAAATCAAAATTCTTTTTTGTCTCACAAAATAAAAATACTTTTAATTATTTTAATTTAGATTCTGCAAGATCATTTCTATCGAATATTTGTAGAGAAAGAATGAATTTTAGAAAAGTCAATGGTTCATGCATGTAATTTTCTTTTTGGTTGGAATGAAAAAGAAGCGCCATGAATTATTGTGGCGCTCGGAAAATAAAAGTTGCCGTGGCGTAAGCTCATGTGACATTCTTATTTTATTGGATCAAATCATAAATCAATTTTTTTTTTTTACAAAAAAAAATTCCTCCTCTTCGTTAACACTTCGAAAATGGTATGTTACAATTTTGAACTCAAATTTAAAGAATCATTTATAAACAGATGTTTGTTAAATGATTAAGGATAATTAGTTCTATAAAAAAAAAAATTTGTGAATTTTAAATAATAAAATTTCTAATTGAAAAAAAAAAAATAATTGATTGCTTCAAATTAATTTGATGGATCCTAACGATAATTTATATAATCGAAATTTAATAGGCCAAGAAGGAAGCAGCTAAAAGCTCTGGAGGTAAAAACAAAAAAAAGGTACAAACCAAATAATTGTCATGATTTTCTTATCAAGCTTTTTGACGATTATATATAAATATATATAATTTTTTTTTTTTCTTTAGAAATGGTCTAAAGGAAAAGTCAAGGACAAAGCAAATAATGCTGTAATTCTTGATAAAGCAACATATGATAAATTATTCAAAGAAGTTCCAACTTATAAATTGATTACTCCTTCTGTATTGGTTGATCGACTTCGTGTTAATGGTTCTTTAGCCAGAGTTGCTATACGTGAATTAGAAGAAAAAGGTCTAATTCGCAAAATATCCACTCACGGTTCACAACTCATTTACAGTATGTTATTAATTATTTCTTTTTTTAAGTTTATAAATATATATCATTATTTTTCTTATTTTTTTTTTTTTTCAAAATCCGAATTATAGCTCGTGCTACAGCTGCTATTGATAAGCCTGAGGCATAATCTTTTAATAAAAAAAATTGTTTATTGATTAAAATACCTTAATAAGCAAATGTATTGTTTCCACCATCTTTTTATTTTTACATTTATTTCTTTTTTTAAATAAAAGATTAATTTTCATTAAAGCAAATGTAACTTTCATTTACTTACTAGCTCTGTTTTTAACAAAGTTCTGAAGAATTTATTTACGTGTACTTTATTTCATTGATAAAATATATACATTACATCATGAAATATAAATTAAATGTTTTGGTTCTCTTGACCACGTCTTCTAATATTTCTCCTTACTTTTGGAGCCGCATATCCAATACCTTCTCCTGCTTCAACTCTCAGGTAGGGAACACTTTTCCATGGAATACCACAAACACCCAGTGAGCTGTTTGTAATATGATCCAGCATAAACCATACTGGAAGTTCTAAAGTTCCTTTAACTATGGCATTTGTTTTAAAAAGAACTGACGAAGGTAGTGGCGAAAGAACGTGAAATGAATGGGATGCAGGATCGATCGATCTTATAATTGCCAACCCCAAACAATTATGTTTAGTTGGTGAAGGTGGAGGAAAATCAGGACAAGGAAAATAATTCGGAGGTTGCTTAAAAACAATTTATTAATTAGTTGATGAAAATTATTTAATTATTTAATGTATTAAATATAATAAGAAAATAAATAACATACTATTCGTGATCGCGAATCTTTTAATTCTTTTACGAATATTACGCCTTTGTCAACTTGTTCACTTGTATAAGGATTATCGATATCGCCAATTAATCCTACTATCGAACCATTTAACGCGTACAAAAGTTGACTTAGAGGCACCTCTCCGGATAACATAAAAACCCCCTCAGTCAACCCTTTTCTCCAATCTAAACACCATGGTACCCGACGGATCAACGGTAGGTTAAAACACCACCATCTTGTATCTACTTGTTTTACTGCCATGGCACTTGTTGAATAAAAGTATGACAATAATGTTAATAGCCGATGATCGGATGCCCGATTAGAACGTTCGGATGATTCTATTGCTTCAACAAAAGAAACTTTGGGCGGTTCTTGGTCAGTAGGTGAGACAATATATTCCGGTAGTGATGGAAGGTTTTGATTGGTGAATGTTGCAGAATAAAACTGAAAAATATGTGTTGGTTTAGCAAAACCTATAATATGAAGATATAAATCATAGCCCATTCCTATGCGTTTAATGATTAAAAGTATTTATTAGCATTAAAATAAAAAAAAAAATGAAAATAGATTCTATAAATGTTTGTTATGAATTATTTACCTTTGCTCCATCCGTGAGTATTAATAATTAGAGGAACGTGTACTTGTCCATCATCGTACATTCCGTACTCTGAACCGCAAGCAATGTCACGACGATAAACTGTAACTAATTCGCGCAAACAATCCAAATAATAGTCGGGATCATCGCGTGGAGAATTATGTCCAATGAAATATGATCTATAGGGTTGTTGTATATGTGTAAATGGAGGACCTACGGAACAAGTGTATTAATTCAGATATAATTGTGAATAAAAAAGTTCATAAATGGTTGATAATTACCAAAAATAGGGGAATTCAATATATTTAGCGATACTAACCCACAAGGGGTGAATTCAGATTGTCCAACATCACTTTCAATATAAGCAACTTTGGGGCAACTAAGAAATAAAAGATGTTAGAAATTAAGTTGCTATTTTAAAACACACAGTTACGAACATACACGTTAAGCAATTTGTTAACCAAATATCTAGAAAATGTTGATTTCCCAACATTTTTATGTCCACTAATGATAGCAATGGGTGGTATAGCTGATATAGAAAAGTAGTAAATGTGAATGTTTTTATATAGTAAATTCTAAATATATTAAATCCTTAAATATTACTAAAGTTTAAAGTATCAGCCACGAGCTGATTTGCTGAATTTTTCCAAGAATGGGAAATTTTTATAGCGGTAGTTCCAAAAATCTCATCAAAAATCTAATAAATTAAATTTAGATAACGAGCCTGAAATATTTGCAAAAAGAGAATCAAATACTTACCGGATAAAATCCTTTAATATTAAACAAATCACGTTTTGATTGTTCAATCTCATTATTACAATCAATTTTCTTATTATTCGTGAGATTGTCGGTAAATATATTATTGAAACATGACGATGTAACATGTTCTATATCTTGAATACCACACCATGAAAAATCTCGTAAAACAAGGATCGTATCATATCTTTCTTCAGAAAAGTTCACATTTGATAAAAGTTTGTTAATCATCGACGTTGTCGTTGAACAAGCTATAATTCCAGAATGTGAAATTTTTCGCGTAATCATCTCCTGTCTTTCTACTGATTCTATTTCTAACAAGGAATGTGTTTTTGGAGAAAACACTGGATAGAACGTAAGACTAGAGCTCAAATCAATTGATAATCGATTTTCAGATGTAATTTCTGAGGCAACAACACTGTGCAATCTATGACCCATAATGTTAGCTTCTCCAAAAATAGATGCAACAAGAACATTTCCTTGAAACATTATTGACTACAAATTAATTAAATTTATTAGACCGGATTAAACAGAAGAACGGAAAGGCTAGTATATTCTAATTTATTTAATTTATTTCATAATACCTCGCCACATTTCATGGCAACTAAACATAAATCTTTTTTTTTCTCATAACAAACAACGTTTGAAGTTGTAGGTATAAAGTGAGAACCCATGAAAAAAGATCGAAAATTTCGTCTTTAGATGTTTCTATATTTCTATATCTTTTAAAGAGCACACCCAGAAAATGGATTATAGTTTTTTGTTTCTTCCTATGACCCATCATTCAATAATCATTCACATTACATTAAAACATTCGAATCCTTATAAATGGCACGAGAAATGACGTAATGATCACCATACATAGATGTTAAACCATCAAATCGAAAACATAACAGGAATTGTTTTTTTAGTTTTTAAAATGCCATTTTACCGATACTTTTCGCTGATCCAGTAAAGTATAGTAAATTATAAATAAAATTATTTGTTTTATTTGTATATATGACAATTATGCCTTTATTAAAACTTTTTAATTTTTTTAAAACGCATTTGTGCGATTATATGGGTTATTACCTTAAGAGCGACTTTCATTATTTTAGGTCAACATATATTTATTATTAGTGCGTTGTGATCCAGACAGAATTGGTTCCTTGTTTTTAATTGTTTTGCGTAGCTTGAGTCCGGATCTTAATGAGAAACACGGTAATTGACCACGTGACGGACGGTTTTGCATGATCGGATCGCCAATTTTAAGGATTTTCAAGGAAAAAAAAATATATAAATACTGTATTCTTGTTTAATCTATCATATATTTAAATCAAAATGCCACCAAAAAAAAATCAGCAATCCGAAAAGTCAAAGCAAAAGGATAAGCAAAAGGTCGCTGAGGACAAGACTTTTGGCTTGAAAAACAAGAAAAAGTCTGTAAAAGTCCAACAGCAGATCAAACAAATTCAAAACCAAGTGATGGCAGCTGGCAATAGGAAGGTTTTGGTAAGCTATCCATATTATTATTATTATTATTTCGTTTTATGTAAATCGATTTTTGCATTTGACTCAATTGTTCCTGAAAAATAGAAAGAAAAAGAAACCGAAAAACAAGCTCTTGCAAATAAAAAACTTGCCGAACAAAAAAAGAAAGATGAACTTGCTGAGTTATTCAAACCAGTTCAAGTACAAAAAGTACCATTTGGGGTGGATCCTAAAACGATATTATGTCAATTCTTTAAAGTTGGACAGTGTCAAAAGGGAGATAAATGCAAATTCTCTCATGATTTAAATATTGAAAGGAAGACTGTGAAAATCGATTTATATACTGATTCTAGAAGTGAAGAAGAAAAGAAAGTAGGTAAGAAACATATTATTCAATTTTTTCTTATTATGGCTGCATTGAAATTATTTATAATTTATGAATTGATTATGTAGATACCATGGATAAATGGGATCAAGAGAAACTTGAACAAGTCGTTAAATCAAAACAAGGCAATCCTAAGACTACAACCGATATTGTATGTAAATACTTTTTAGAGGCGATTGAAAATCAAAAGTATGGATGGTTTTGGGAGTGTCCTAACGAAGGTGAGATAATTTTTATTTTTATTTTTATTTTTATTTTTTTTTTTTGTAAAAAAAAATTTATTAGAAATTTATTATATATGGAGCTTATAATTTGACTTAATAAATTTATTAGGTAAGAATTGCAAGTATAGACATGCACTTCCACCTGGATTTGTACTGAAAACTAAATCTCAAAAGAAAGCTGAAGAGGAAGAATCTGAACAAATCACAATCGAAGAATTTTTAGAAACTGAGGTAAATATTTTATAATTTTTTTTTTTTTGATTAAAAATATATGTATTCCTTCAATTTACTAAAAAATAAATGAAATTTTTTTTTACAAGCGACATAATTTGGGCACTAACCTTACACATGTTACCCTTGAAACGTTTACCGAATGGAAAAAGAATCGTAAGGCGAAATTGAACGCAGAAGAAGAACTCAAAAGATCAGCCAAAGAAGCAGCTTTTAAAGCTGGTAAAGCTCAGGGCATGTCTGGTCGTGATCTTTTCACATTCAATCCTGATCTCGTTAACCAATTGGACGATTATGATGAAGAAGATGATGTCTTCGATCTATCTGGCTATAAACAAGATGATTATGGGCAAGAGAATCAAAATGGTGATCGAGTTGATAATCAGTCAGATGCAGAAGATGAAGAAAATACTTCCGAAACTCCTTACGGAGAAGGAAGTGCCAGCAATGGCAAATCAAAAATTACGAACAATAATTCAACAACTTTAATCACTGAAGAAGGTTTAGAAGTGAAAGAGGAATTGTTTGCAGACGAAGACCTGGATGATTTAGAGGATGATGATGATGAATGAATTTTCAGACGCAATATATAGTAAACTTTTCAACAATTCAGATTATATTTAGATAAAAAAGAACCAAATATATTTTTATGTTTATGTTTATTTTATTTTTATTTTATTTTTTTTTTTTTCATTGAACATTCAAATTAAAAAGTGTCTATAATTACCTAAATTAAAGGATTGAATTTTAATCAGATTTTAATATAATAAAATTTTAATTTTTGAATCATGGCGCAGTTAATTTCATGTGATCTTTTTTCTATGCATTTCATTACAGAAAATGAAAATGTTACATCATGCTATTTTAAGTATTTAACCGGCAGACCGCAGAAATCGGAATTTAAATTGAAGGTTAATACCAAACAAAGTTTTTCCTACAAAATTCCATATCTAGTTGTTGCTTTTGTTGTCCAGAAAGTCGGAACATATCGGTGTAAAACTCCTTTTATTATAATACTTTGTATCGTACTAATAATCCCTAAATATCGAATATACTTTTTTAAATCACCACTTTTTACCACACTTTTATTACCACACGTTTGTCTTCTAATTTATTTCTTAGTATGAACAACCGTTCCCGCGCACCAAAAGGAAAGATAAAGCCACCGAAGAAACCGGTAAGATTTTATCTTTAATCGGGTCCGGTCTGAAAGGCTACTTGCAGCAAAACCGTTACTATTTAAGCGCATAGATTTGTACTCTTTTGCTGTTTCATTTCTTTTGCTCTTTATTGTTTTTATGTGGAAGTTTTATTAAGTATAGATTTAAAGAGTCAGTTGTGAGTTTGACCTTCTTCCTCCAACTAAAAAAAAAACCAACCAATAGTATTTGCGGATATTTTATATAAATATATTTCTGCAGACTTCCTGTGTCAGACTTTCACGGTCTTGACTTGGAAGAAAAATATGTGAACTTCTCATTTTTAATTTTTTTCTTTTTGAATAAAGGCTTATAATATAAACTTATTATTTAAATATGTCTTCACGTCGTTCTCAGAATTCCGCCGACCTCCAATTTAATGACAATTGGGAGCGTTTGGCTCAGGCTATTCGTGAAATTCATAAAAAAAATGCGTCGATCCTCAGTTTCGAAGAACTTTATCGTAACGCATACAACATGGTCCTCCATAAAAATGGGGACAAATTATATAACGGCGTGAGAGGAGTAATTACACAACACTTGGAAGAAGTTGCTCAAGCACAGGTAGTACCGGCATTCCCACTTTCAGGTGCAAGTAGTTCACAAACTAACTCTAATGGAGCTGGTGGTGCCAACTTCTTGAAAGTTTTAAAGAATGTTTGGGAAGACCATACTACTTGTATGCTTATGATTAGAGATATTTTAATGTATATGGTAAGTCAGTAATGAAATTATTTGAGTATTTTAATTTCCTTTTACGCAAAAATATTTGTTCGAGGAAATTTCTTTCCAATATAGGCCACATCTAATAATTACAATATAACTAAAAGGATCGGGTTTACGCAAAAACAGCAAACGTCCCTCTTGTATATGATCTTGGTTTGGATCTTTTTAGAGACACAATAGTCCGTTCACAGAAACATCCAATTCAGAATCACCTTCTTGATGTGCTCTTACAACAAATTAAACTTGAACGCGAAAATGAAATTATAGATCGTTCTAGCGTGAAAGCATCAATGGACATGTTACTGGAGTTAACAGACGCGTCGACTAAAGATACAGTATATGCTACTGATTTCGAAGGCCGATTTTTAGATACAAGTTCTGAATATTACAGAGTTGAAGGACAAATGCTTGTAGGAGAATGTGATGCCCCAGAATACATGAAAAAGGTTAGCAAATATATATTAATAGATTTATTAGTCGAACACTATAACAATTTATATATTAATAGCATATTACATCTTTTTAGGTAGAAAAACGACTGGTTGAAGAAGAGCAACGAGTACGGCACTATCTTTCACCATCTACAGAACCAAAAATCCGTAATATTGTAGAAGAGGAACTAATCTCAAAACATCTTAAGACAGTAATCGAAGTACCTACTACGAAAATTTTAAATTATTATAATTGTTGTTATTGGTTTTTATCTAAAAAAAAATTTTTAATAACAAAATTTTAAAATGATCTGGATTTTTTTTAGATGGAAAATTCCGGTTTAATTCCTATGTTAAGGAATGAAAAAATGGATGGTAGGTTTCTTATTCCTGTCTTTTATTATTATTACAAGTTGTTATTCCCTTTGATTAATATTTATTTGATTTCAGATCTTGGAAGAATGTATAAATTATTTGGACGAGTTTTAAAGGGTCATGAGGAAATGAAATCCGCTATTAGTGAATATATACGTGAACTTGGCAAAGCAATAAATGAAACAGTTTCGAGTAATACATCTTCCGAAGGTGGTAGTGGTTCTGGAGAGAAACAAACAGGAGCTTCTGTTGCTATAAAATGGGTACAAGAAGTTCTAGACCTTAAAGATAAGTTCGATAAAGTTCAAAATTTAGCTTTATCTAATGATAAGGCGTTCCAAACATCATTTAACGAGGTATGCTAATTAAAAGTTATGTTCTATATTATTATTATTAAACATTTCAATTGTGAACTTTGATTTATTTTAATTTTTTAATTAGGCATTTGAGCATTTCATCAATAAAAACTCCAAATCACCAGAGTTTATATCATTGTTTATTGATGATAATCTTAAAAAAGGATTAAAAGGGGTGGGTTTAAGTTCCGCTGGATTATATTACTTTTAAGGCAGTTGATTAAATTGTTATATATTTAGAAAACGGAAGAAGAAGTAGATAGTGTATTGGATAAAACCATCACGTTATTCCGTTTTATTGGAGAAAAGGATGTGTTCGAACGATATTACAAACAACATTTAGCCAAGCGATTGTTGCTTGGTCGAAGTGTTAGTGATGATGCAGAAAGGGGTATGATAGGCAAACTTAAGGTATGTTAGATCGAAGTATCCCTATTATCTACTTTTACATTATTCTTATTCTAACCTTTGTCTTTATACGTTCTAGGTGGAGTGCGGTTACCAATTTACCACTAAACTAGAGGGCATGTTCAATGATATGAGAATATCAGCCGATACAATGTCAGATTTTAAAGACTTCTTGGATAAGTCTGTCTTAGAGGTGTGCTTTTAAACAAATATATTTTATATAATTTCATTATCAATTCGCTTATATTTCATGTTTTAAAAACATAGAAACCCAAAATGGATTTAGGCGTCACTGTCCTTACATCAACGTTTTGGCCAATGAACCTGTCTGCCAGTCCAAGGTGCAATTTCCCAGCTGAAATAACGAAGGCTTGTGAAACTTTCCAAAGGTTTTATTTAGGTCGACATAGTGGACGTAGATTAACGTGGCAATCGAATATGGTAACAATATTATTATTTGTAAGGTACTGAAAATAGTATCGCTAATTTCATGGGATTTTTTACTTGTTCTATTTTTAGGGTACAGCTGATATTCGGGGTTCATTCAAATCACGCAAGCACGATTTAAACGTATCAACATATCAAATGGTTATCTTACTTATGTTCAATGATTTACCCGAAGGAGAGTCTTTATCGTATGAGGTATGAATAAATATAATATTTTTCATGTATGTCGATTAAAAATTTATTCATATTATTTTTTTTTTCTTGTTTTTCTTAGCAAATTAAAGGTGAAAGCGATATTCCGGAGGCAGACCTCAAACGTAATCTTCAGTCATTAGCTTGTGCCAGATATAAAATCCTTGTAAAAGAACCTAAAGGAAAAGATATCAATCATGGGGACGTATTTTATTTCAATTATGAATTTACAGCTCCATATCAGCGTATTAAGATTCCAACAGTAGCTAGTAAAGTAGAAACTGAAGGCGAAAGAAAAGAAACACGAGAGAAGGTAGAGGAGGCTAGAAAACATCAAACTGAAGCTGCTATTGTAAGAATTATGAAGGATAGGAAGACAATGGATCATAATAATTTGATTGCAGAGGTTACAAGGCAATTACAACCAAGGTTTGTACCAAATCCAGCATTGATAAAGAAGAGAATTGAAGCATTAATTGAACGAGAGTACTTGGAAAGGGCATCAGATAGGTAAAATTGAAATTTCTTTTAATTTAAAGAGATGTCTTTTTTTTTGATTATCAATATTGATAAAAATTTTTTTTTTTAACAATTTTAAAGTAGGCGAGTATATAATTATCTAGCATAATATATTTTTAGATATCTCATAAGGACATTTTTAATTAGAGACTCTATTATCAAATCTGGCGTTGTAATACAAGTTGATGTGTTTATTTTCGTTATTTTTATCATTTGAATCACTTTTCTGCTTTTTATCGATTTTCCTTAGTTAAGCTTAGTTTTATGTATAGCTTTTTATTCTTTTTTATTCTTCACAATATTACTTTAACAAAATACATATTTTTGGTAATTTGTAAAAAAAAAAAAAATAATTTTTTATTGTCTTGCAGTACTTTGAGAATATATTATCAAATACTGCCTGTGTGATACAATTATTTTTATACAAGGATAACAATGATCTTTTATAAAATCACCACCTATATAAAAGAAAGGAAAAAAAAAAAAAAAAAAAGAGAAATTATTTCTTATTAAAAAAAAATAATTATCATTAAATTAAGCAAAAAAAAAAAAAAAATGAAGTCTTTAAAAATAAGAAATTACATTATCCTGTGTACTTTAATAATTCTTCTTTACCAGCTTTAGAAGCTAAAAAATCATGCCTCTTTTTCCTATCATAATAAATAAGATAACCAAGGGTAACAGGAACTCCAACGTAAGGGGCTTGAGAGATTGTGCGACGAAAAACGTTAAAAACACCATGTTTGATGGCACCAGCGAATGCTCGTTGTTGATAAGGAGAAATGGAATAAGTGACTATTCCCTTTTGTACGGGACCTCCCAAATGTCCCCACCAAACATGTTTTACAGCCATAATTATTATATTTGTATCTAATGGGCTGAAGTGAAATTTTTCTATTAAAAAAATCGATATTAAAATAAAAATACAATTAGTTTTTTACTTAATAAATTGCTACAAAATACTTGCCTAAATGAAAAAGAAGCTTTTATATATAAAAAAAAAAATTTGATCAGGCTTCTAAATACGGATAGAATTTTTTTTTGATTGGCCAAAACTATTAACTGGCGCAGCAAGATCAAAATGTATTAATTGTATCATTAATTGATATTTTAGATTTGTAAATAAACATTTAAAAGTTAAGATATCTCTATAAAACCTTTTTATTTGCTTAAGATATTTTCTTTTTATTATATAAAAGAGCTATTTTACAGCTTTGCTTTTGAATTTTGACCATCGCTCAAATAAATATTCAAACATTAAATTAAGAATGCTGAATGGGTTGGGTTATTCTTGCGAATATTTGGGAAATAAGGTATTATTAACTTAGGTGTTCTTCCTAACTTTTTCGTATACATAAAATAAGCTTATACTTTGGATATTAAAGCATGAGAATGGTCATTAATATTTCGGTTCAACTGGTTACAAATTAATTAATAAATATGTTTAAAATAACTCTACTCTTATACTTTATCTTGTCCTGATTCTTGTTTTACTGGTCTTGCACCAAAAATAGTACTTCCAATTCGAACACTCGTAGCTCCTAACTTTAAAGCTTCTTCAAAATCATTAGACATTCCCATACTTAATTCTAGTTCAATTCCTCTTTCCTTCCTAAATTCTTCTTTTAAATTTTTCAACAACTGCATAAAAAAAAATGAAATTAATAATTATGTAAAGATATTTTTAAATTTTTAAAAAAGAGCAAATTATAAGGAATACTTGCTATAAAATCAGGGTTTGGTTGACCTTCATTATAATTATTCCTGTTAGGAGCTCCGATAGTCATCAACCCTAATAATTCCAATTTATTACAATTATCTTTAATATAATTTAATAATTCTAAACATTTATTTGGTTCAATTCCACTTTTGGCTAAATATAAAAAAAAAAAAGAAAAGGAAACGCGCGTTATTTATCAAATCATATAAAAGGTTACGCATGTATATTAAACACGTACATTCTTCTCCGCTTGTATTCACTTGAAGAAATATTTTTAATTTATCATCTCTCGATACGCATGCCTTATTCATTAATTCTGCTTTTTTTTTACTATCGATTGTCTCTACTGCCCATAAATTTGGTATTTCTTAAAAAAAAAAAAAAAAGGTTAAGAATTAAGTTAATCAAAATCAATTAATTAGTTGATTGATTAATTACCTGCTAACATTTTGCATTTATTACTTTGTAACGTTCCTATAAAATGCCATTGAATATCTGATGGTAACTAATTAATGATTTAAAAATGAATGCTTAAACATGTATTGTAATTAATTTCTTATTTTTTAAAAAAATTTTAAATTTTAAATTACCATTTTACTTTTTTCAATTAATTCTTGCACCTAAGATAAAATAGACATTAATCATTTGTACTAACAAAATCAATCAATAAATAGGCAAGTAAAATAAATACTCACATAATTTTCACCAAAATGCCTTTGTCCAAATTCATAAGCAAAGCGAATATCTGAAGCTGGTTTGTACTTACTAACGGCAACTAACCTAACCTACCATAAAAAAACTTTCAATTAATTAATTGATACCTTTCACAAAAAAAAAAAATTTTGATTCGTCGTGAAAATTTAGAATTAACCTCTTTTTGTCTTTGAGTAATTGCTTCAATACATTTTCTAACATATAATAAATTCTTTTCAATTTCTTCTTTTCTTATTTCAACATTATTCTCACTTGAAACTTTCTCCTCAGTCGAAGCCATTCTTTTATAATTTATGTTATACAATAAATTTATTAAGTTATCTCTATTTAATCTGATTGATTTATTTTTAAAAATAAACATTGAAAAGGGATTTTTTTTTTTTTTTTTTGTCATTCCGCTTTTTGTACCATCTATATTTGGAAAAGTTTCCTCGTGCAAATTGAATTAATTTTTTTTAAATATACTATACTGCTTTTTCCTTCCTAATTTGTCCACATTAAATTTGAACCGGTATTTGTTAATTAATTAAGATATATGCATTATCTTGTATTAGAGAACTTTGCTATTTTAAGCTTTAAATTAATTCGAAAACTTTTAATTAGCGTTAGTGAAATGAGTGAAATGGTAAATTAATGCACAAATTTTTGATGTCATTTTTCCTAGCATAAGCCAATCATTTTATTTGTAATCCTATTAAAAAAAAAAAGTAATGGAAACTTGTTTTTTAATACATAAACACAATAAAGTAAATTATAAAAAATATTTGTAAATACAGCGAGACCTTTTTAAATGCATCCTCCCTAAATACATACACATATTTTTTCTATAAATGCATATTTCATATAATTTCAAGTATATAAAGATCATACAAAATTTCTCTCTTTAAATGCACATCATCTTTAACTGCAAATTTTCATTATGACCCTAAGGGGATGCATTTAGAGAAGTCTCACTGTAACAAAATTCCAATATAGTAAATAAAATCATTAATAAAAGACTTATTCTCTTAATATTTTACCAATAAATACTAGTCTAAAAATTGTAATCCTAGAATATACTCTTTCTTGAATAAAGTATACTTTCGCTTTTTATCCATGCAAGAGTTTTTATTACTAAGCTAAGCTAGAGAATAAAACAGTAAAAGTATTTTAAAAGAAATGTCTTATCTATTTATACATGTTACTATTATATATATGTATAAATAAAGTCTCATCTAAAACTCTAAAAAGATCAGGTCAGATTAGATAATTGACTTGACCTGATCTCACTAGTCAGAATATTTTTTTTAATTATTAACAATGCAATCTAGCCGCAGTATTTTATTTGTATTATAAATTGAAGAAAAAAAAATCTAAAAAAATACTAAAATACACAATTTACCATGTGGTTTTATTTAGTCGACTGATTACTGCCACCCCCCGAAGGGAGTGGAAATAAAGTGTCAGAAAGCATCTAATTTCTAAATATCCTTCAGTCCCTAACTTCCCTTAAAAGAAAATTCTAATACTAAAAATAACACCTGAAGTAGGAAATTGATACAAATAGAAATTTACAAACAACCAAAAATAACTTTATAAGTTCTAGTTAAAATCCAGTCAATTCCAGCTTAAAGCGATCACCTAGAAGAAGAAGATGCGTTCAAGTAACTAGGTTCAAACAAAGGCTTTTTATACTTATAGATTCATAAATATAGTAAAAATATCACATGAAATCCACTACGAAAAATCTACAAGATATCTACAGGTAGTAACCTATACCCTTTACCTGGATTATCAGGAAGGTATGGATTTAGACGAAGCAAACTTACACTGAGTAAGAATCTTGATAACAAAGACCTACCGTAGTTCTATTTCAAACTTGTGTAAGCCAACAAAAATATCAGACCAAGTGATAGCTACTATCACTCCAAATAGATGACGTTTGGAGATACCAACATAGATATAATGCTAAATTTGCATGTAACTTTTGACGACAGAAGATTTGCAAAAAAGCAGAGGCCAATTAAAAGAGATATATTGTTTAGAAAGGGGAAAGGTGTCATTACATGAGATTTGTTTATCCAAAATATGTCGATCATAATCATCAGTTGTGATATCTCTTAATGCCCACTTTTTAGTAGACAAAAAAGAAAAACAGAAAAACAGAAAAAATTTTTTAAAAAAGGGTGAAGAATTACAAAGCTTAGGAAGGAGAACGTTAAGATTCCTGATCTTAAAAGTAAGCTAGCTGAGTTTGAATCTGAGAAAGCTGAGCTTAAGAAATATGATGTTGAGAATGCTGAACTCAAATTTAGAGTTAAAAAGCTTGAGGCTAGACTTGCAATAGTAGAGCAGAGTTCTGTAATAGGACAAACACAGAATAATGAAAAAGAGATATTGGAGGTGTTACTAGAGGTATCAGCTGTTGATGATTCTGTAGTTCAGCCCAAGTGACATGCGTCTGTTTGTAAAGTAAATGATAATTTTTCTAATAACAGCACATCTTATTTCAATTCAGTTTTAGACCAGCCTGCTCACAAAGTAATCAGAGTATCTAGTAATAATACAAATATCAAGTCAATAAAGAAAAGTAAGACAGATTCTTTCTTAAATGAGGTGTATAAGAAAAGAGTTAGTGATGAGATTAGACAGAGGAATAGGAAAAAGAAACTTAGTAAAGTATTCTCTAATTAAGGTCAAGAATTTGATATCGGGTTAACTGTAGATAATTGTGCTTTCACTTCTGAAAAGATGCCAGAGGTATCAAATCCTGTGACTGAAATTTCAGTTAGGAATCCCTACCAAAATAGCTATAGAAAGAAAGATGCAGAAAATATTATACAAATGATAGCTGATAGCATTAAGGATGATGTTCAATTGAGCGATAAAACCATTTCTTGTAATGTAATTTCAGCTGGGAGCTCCTGCTAAAATTCTTCTACAATTCTATTGCTTTCTCTAGCTCAATTATTTGATGCTGAAGGTGATGCAATTCATGCTAATTAGGAAGAAATTTTGCATTGGTAATATTATGGAAAAGAATTTTTAAATCAGATTAGTGTAATTGTACAGGATGGTAAAGGCAAAATCGGCGAAAAAAAGGAAAAGGGAATAATCTATGATAAAATGTTGAACACATTTCCATTCTTCGCAAAAAGAGATTAAAAGAAATAGGATTGCGTCTTCCAGAAATCTCCCGTAAAAACTTGCAAGGGAAAACTCAGAAAGCTGTAAAGATATATAAATTATTTGAAAAGGTGGGTATAGATAACATTAAGTATATCTCAACTTATAATGCAAATTCTATTTCGGAATTAACTAATGATAAAGTTTAAGAGATCATAGATAATTTCTCCAAGCAGGAAGACGATTTTCCAACTCCTGAAATTTCAGCCGGGGGTCCCTGCCAAAATCATGTGACCAATAATTCTGAAACTATCATAAATGTTCTGTCAGCTTTGGAATCAACTGAAATTAATACTTCAGCAAATGTACATGTATTATTTGCACCTCAATCTAGCCCAACTTATGACCAAGCTAAAGATGCCAGCTGAAACTCCCTCAAAATAATTTTGTCATATCCCTTACTATGTTTTTAATATAGTTTCGGCTAATTTCGGGTTTCGGGG